GCATACTACTATATATATATATATATATATATATATATATATATAAATATATATTATAGCGGCATCCAAAATACGGAGAGTGTTTGTATGGCACCAATATTTAATAAAGCTTATTTCAAGCGATTGGTCGGATTGTTTAAAGCATACTAATTCTTTTCACATGCTACATACTGTTTGTCGTATAAGTGTCTGAGCATTTTATTTCATTCCCTTGGCCAATAGTAAGGAGATAAGGAGTTGTGTCAACTTCACCGCAATTGGAGTTAATGTACACGCAGAAGTGGACGCACAGCAAGAGAACGTCTCGCCATTTAAAGCTCAATAGGTCACAATGGTGTGCTGAATTGGAACATTGCTGTACGCGTTAACGTTTGGATGTTAAACTCAACAGTGAACACGGTTGGACTGACAATGCGTACGTGTGAGTGAACGCAATCTTGGCAGGGACTTGGGCTGTGCTTTGGAAGTGTGGCTGACAATGACTGGCGAGTGACGATACATATGGGCCAAATAACCCAAACCAGCGCATAGAAATGGTAAGGGAAAATTATAGCATCACATATGGAGCTCTACTATCGTGTAACCATAGTAGCATATTATGGCGCTCTACTATCGTGTTACCATAGCAGCACCTTATGGAGCTCTACTACCAAGTAACCAAAGTAGCATCTTATGGAGATCATAGCAGCACCTTATGGAGATCATAGCAGCACCTTATGAAGATCTACTATCGTGTAACCATAGCAGTATTTTATGGAGATCATAGCAGCACCTTTATGGATATCATAGCAGCACCTTATGGAGATCTACTATCGTGTAGCCATATCAGCACCTTATGGAGATCATAGCAGTACCTTATGGAGATCTACTATCGTGTAACCATAGCAGTATCTTTTGAATATCTACTGCAACCATAGTAGCGTCTTATGGAGCTCTACTATCGAGTAGCCATAGCAGTACCTTATGGAGATCTACTATTGTGTAACCATAGCAGTATCTTAAGAATATCTACTGCAACCATAGTAGCGTCTTATGGAGTTCTACTATCGTGTGGCCATAGCAGCACCTTATGGAGATTATAGCAGCACCTTATGGAGATTATAGCAGTACCTTATGGAGATCTACTATCGTGAAACCATAGCAACACCTTATAGCAATCTACAATCGCGTACCCAGAGCGGCACCTTATAGATCTACTATTTCGTATTCCTCTTTCTAGATCGTTGTTTGTGTAGCCGTTTGAGACCATATACAACACATGTCGGAAGATATATATATATATATATATATATATATGTTTAAATGTGTGTGGGTATCGAATTTTCACTCGTTCCAAGCAGGTGCTTCGTAAGCTGGACCTATAGGGATTGCTCTACCCTTCAGGTGCTCATCGGAACTGTCCATGCGTTCTGCCTGGCCCATTATATTTTCCCCTTGACCGCCTGAACTGATAATCTGATGTACTAAATCTTTATCCAAGAAGAAATAAGAATATCAGGATATGCCAGCAATTCAAATCATGATAGAAGAAAGAAAAATCATCTTATATACATATATATATATATATATACTACACACTCACATACATATATATAAATATATGTATAATA